AGGGGGAGGGGAAACCTCCGTCCGCTCGAGGAATGGGAGGAGGGACAGAAACGGGGGCGAGCTGGTCCAGGAATCTCCTGTGGAAGTGATCCCCGGCCTTCCCCCCTCTCCCCCCTTGGTCTTCGGGCTCCGGCGCCGGGGGCCAAGAGGGCGCACCTCATCAAGACGGCGAGGCGCCTCGGAGCCCTGAGCCTTCCTCGCGGCCTCTTCTGGCCTTCCGCTCCGCTCCTCTTGTGGCGTGGAGCTCCGTAGGCTAAGGACTGCGCCTCAGGTGGAGCAGGCCCCTTCGGGGTCATACCACAGCTACAGCCCTCCCGTTTCGCCGGGAACTCAACTGCCCGTTTCACGCCCTGCGGGTTGGGCTGCTCCCCTTCTCAGGACCCTGGAGAGTGGCCGGGCTCCGTCAGTCCCTGGCGGGCTTCTTCCTCCTTCACCCGCAGAAGCTTCGCATCCAAAGGAAGGCCAGATGAGGGAGGGAAGCCGAAGGGGGCTGCCCGGAAAGAAGGCCCTCCCAGCTTTGTACAAGTGCCAAGAGAAACTTTTGACAACCACCTGGCAGACATCCTTTGATTTGTATCCCTGCATCGAGCAGGGGCGTTGGGCTTGGTGACCCTTCCAGCTTCATTCTTCTATGATTCTTTCAAGTTCTTTTGTAATCTCCGGGCTTGGACCCTCGTTTCAAGCCCTTCCTCCTTGGCCCACCGGGGAGACAGGTGCGGGAGACTCCTGGGGGCTGGGCTCTCTCCGCCCGCCCCAGCGCTCCTCTCATCGCCGCTTAACCCTCTGCCCGCCCCGTCGGGCCACCCAGCCTCCAGGCTCTGCTCTCAGGCCTCTCTTTCTCCCGTTCCCTAGATGGAGAGAACCTGCCCAAATTCCGGCCCAAGACAGCAGGCTCTCCACGTGGTAAGTCCCCCCCCCCAGCTCTGCTCCTACCCAGGGTGGGAGAGGAGGAGTTGAGCAGGGGAGGCGGGAGGGCAGGAATACGAGGCAGAGGCTGGCGGGGCGCGGAGGGGAATTCTTCCAAAAAAAGGAGGCCTGGCGCTTTTCCCCGGGCGCTGGGTGAAGACGGGATCCATCCTGCTGATTCACTTTGCCGCTCCAGGAGCTACAGCCAGCCCTCCCCGCGCCCTCGCCTTCCTGTCGGTCACTATCCCAAATTGAAATGGGGGGGGTCTCACCAACAGGAGCAGCTGCAGATAGACCAGGGGGTGGGAGAAGCGGACTCCGCTCTGCCGATCCCGCTCCCTCCCCTAGAATAAAAAGGCTCTTCCTCAGGGGCACCCTATATCTGACCCCAAGGCAGGATCGGGCCTTTGGGGGGGCAGCTGTTCCCTGCGGCCGGCCCCATCGCCCCCTCTGGCCTTCCTTGGGGACCCTTTCACCTGGAGTCACGCCGCGGTCCTTCTGGCGCCGGATCCCGAAGGGCCAGCTACGGGGCGCTGCCGGCTTCTGAGGGCGCCTCTTGTCTCGCCCGCAGGCCAGCACTGAGGCGCGGCTGCCCAGACATCGGGAGAAGGAGCGGTGCCCCCCTTCCCCAGGGGTGGCCGAGGGGTGGCCGAAGCCGCTGCTGCCCCCACCCCTTCGCCGCCCCCTTGCTTTTGAGCTGCTGAGAAGAATAAAGCGGTCCCTTCTTTGCCGAAGGAATGTCGGCCAAATTCCTCTTTTTGTGGGACCCCAGCTTGGAGGGTGGGAGAAACCTGCCGGTGGGGCTTCGGGTGGTGAGGCAGCTTGACTGGGGGGGGGGCGAAGCGGAGGACCAGGGAGCCGGCGGCAAGCAGCCCCACTGACCACCACCCCGGTTTGTGTCCAGGAGAGAGGAGGCTGCGCAAGCGGGAGCTCAGCTACTTCGCCCCGCCTTGCGCCCGACAAGTAGGCTCCCGCAAGGGCCCGGGGGCCCGTCGAGTTCCTCTGCAAACGCCTCCCTCCCTCAATGAGAAGGAAAAGTGTGTGTGTGCAGGGAAGAGGTGTGAGGGAGACGCGCAGCAGAAGCACAAGAGTAGACCATTGGTCTAGATGGGCGGGGTATAAATCTAATGAAATAAAAATTATTTTATACTCCCAAACAAGGGACTGGGAAGGAGGGTGTGTGTGTGTGTGAATGTGAGTGCGGGCAGCTTAAAGGGACCCCCCGGGACGCCTCCCCCCTCATTTCATTTCCACGCCTTCCTTTCTTCAGCGTGACCTTAGAGTAGACTGTGGGAGGGCAATGAGGGCGGCTCGCCCCCAATATTTCAAAGGGAGGCCACTCACCCCCGTCCCATCACGAGCCACCCTCGCTTCCGCCTCAAGGCACCTTCTCTCTCCTCCGCCCCCGGCCTCCCTCTGCTTCGCGCAAGACCTCCGGCAGCGATCCCCGGGGTGCTCGCGGCCTTCCACACGGCCCTGCTCTGCCCTGGGTCTTGCAACCGTGGGCGCGGGCGCGTGCAGGCCACCTTGCCGGCAGCCGGCCGAGCGAGTCGGCTCCCCTCCTTTTCTTAGCCTCGCCCCGAGGCCTTCATGCGGTGTGAGGGGAAGGAGGGGCGGGTGGGGGGGCAGAGCCTGCTTAGGCCACAGGCTTAGAAGGGGCTCACGGCCGCAGGGACCGGCCGGCCCCTCGAGGGACGCCCAGAGCCGCGGCCGCCCCTTCCTCCCGCTCCCTTCTGCTGGGACGCCCCTGGACTTCATCCCAGTTCTGGAAGGCGGTCGGCAGAGGGTTCGCGAGAACATCCACGGACGCCTTTCGCGCTCTCGCCCGCGGCGCCTGGGGCGCTGGGGACCCGAACTCAGTTCCAGCAGCTGCGGGCGCCTCCCACCGCTGCCTTGCCCACCTTGGGCTGCGGCTCACCTCGCCCACCCACCCCCACGCCCCGTGTTTCCTTTCGGGGGGGGAGTGGAGGCAGTTTCTGACCCCTTCTCCCCCCCCCGCAGCAAACCGCTGCCCATCGCGCGTGTGGTTGCTTTTAGCCTCCCTTGGAAGTCTGAGTGTGCCCCTTCCCGCCCGGGGCCCTGATCCCTCCTGGAACCGGCTGTGCCCTCCTCCATCGGGGCCGCCGCCGCCGCCGCTTTTGCTGCCAGAGGTAGCAGCCTCGGCTGGAGCCGGTTTGGCAGCCCTGGGGCGGGGGGGGGGAGAGGCAATCTGGAGCTCATCCGGTGCCCTGATGGACTAGGGGCCGAAGCCCCACTTCTTCCCCCACCCTTTGCCCCGAGATGCGCTCCAGCCCGTTCAATGCGGGCGGAGGAAAAAGAAGGCAGCCTCTGAGCTCGAAACCCTGTCAAAAGCCCGAGGAGACTGACCCGTCGTTACGATGCCGCTAAACAAGAATTACTTAATTTATGAATGTTTACAAAATAGTGACAAGGTCAGCATTTATTTGATACATATAAAGAATATGATCCACTAGGAAATAATGACCATGCCGTGATGTCTTTCACCATGCATGTTGGGAAGAGAGTGGCAAGCAAATCTGACACAAAAACAACCTCCCTTCCCAAACAGCCCCCCCCCAAGTCTAGCAGTGCAAACCTCTACGGCCTTTTCGACCGAGGAGAGAACGCCTCCCCCAGCTGCAGCCGCCCCAAAGACTGATCCTGAATGCCGACCCGCGGGCAGCCCGGGCGCCCAGCTCCTTCCTTCTCCAGGGTCCCCCGAAGCTAAACCCCGCGCGCACTCAAACAAGTTGGCTTCCGAGATGTTTTATTTCGCAAACCCAGTGTCCCGTCCCGGCCTCTTCCCGGGCGCCGCGGCTCAGTTTCCCCCTCCCTCCCCCGGTCTCTCCACCGCGAAGGAAGCCCCCAGCTGCCCGGAGCAGGCGATCCGCCGGGGCTCGGCCTCACTTGCCCACCGAGTCCAGGAGGAGGCGGTTCTTTTCTGCCTGCGCCTGCTGGCTCTGCGCCCGGGAGATCTCCATCATCTGCCGGAGGAGGTGGAAGGTGAGGTCGATGGACAGGGGCGGGTCCTGACGCTTCTTCAGCCGGTCGCTCAGCTGGGCCAGGCGGCGGCGGCCGAACTCCCACGCGGGACTCGCCGGCGGCAAGTAGCCCACCAGCAGGGCCGCCACGTCGGGCCTCCTCGAACTGGGCAGGGCCCAGGGGGCGCGGGCGGGATCCTGCCCGCGCAGCCGCAGCTTCAGCCAGAGGCTCGCATCATCCTGGGCGCCGACGGCCAGGGCCAGGGCCGGCCGGCCTTGGAGGAGCACCTGGGAGAGCAAAAGGAGCGAAGCCGCAAGCACGGGCAGCCGCGCCCGCCTCATGCCGGGTGCGCGGACTCTGCCCAGCGAAGCCCGCGGGGGATCGGCTGGAACCCCGACGCCCGCCAAGCCAAGCGGACCTTCCTCCCCTCACGGGAGACGGGGCGGAGCGGGGAGAGGCTGGCCAAGCCGCGGGGCCCGAAATCCTGCAAAGGGGAGGCG